TTTGAAGACGAGCAGTGCTCAAAAACCTTGTAATTACAAGACATAGAGTCTTTCTGACCTCTGAACCTTCTGCTGGAACGACGTTTATCTATTACTAGCTAGTTAGATTTCTTGACACAAAATAGTGATCATAAAATTCTTTTTTTGCTTAGAAATTTAAAAAAAACAATGAATTTTTATTGAATTAATACTTGAATTGTATAACTTAACTGCATGAGTAGCCGAAGTGGTATTTTCGACAAAACAAAAAAAAAAAAGTTGCTAAAAGCATAAAATACTCCAGTATGATTTCATGTTGCTCTCTATTCATTTTTTTCGTTTCTTTTAAATTCAACTTGTTCATATATGTCCGAAGAGGAGTCCATTCTCTAAGCCTTATGCTCGTGGCACGAGAACTACTTTCTATTTCATATGACCAATAACTCATAGCAGGCTGTGATGAGCTTATAAAAAGTGTTATTTTAGCTTCTAGACTAAAATCATTAAAAGAAATGTCTGCTTTTCTGAGGCGCTAACAAGAAATTACGCTATTGAGTTCAGCCTTACTTTACCTGTTTTACATTATCCGTGTAGCCCTAAGCCGCTTCAAGGGAAATTTTGTCTATCATATCGCACGAATTGTTTGCAGTTGACTGACATTCCCATCACTCTCGATGACACGATCGACCATTGATGCACGAGCTTAAATTTCTTCTCATTTGCGGTACGCGTATAAAGAGACACGCGTACAATAAGTAACTTCTCTAATCTCCAGTCAAATCAATAAATATATGAGCACTGTTTAGGCCATTCCATCAATGCAGCCGAAAATCATGAATTGCAGGGAAGTACTGGCCAATTATGTGCTTCGAACACCGGCAAGTGATTTCGTTTACTCCATAACCGTGGTGGACGTGCTGCAGATCTTCCTTGCGATCTCGACGGTTGACAAGCCCCTTCATTGTAGGTAGCTCAAACGCCAATGCCGGTGGCGCCAGCAGAAGGAAGGATTAAACTCTTTTTGTTACACATATTGCCAGTTCATAGCGAGAATCGCGTCTGATTGAATTGTAATAGCAATTGTTGGACCGAACATGACGGCTAAATTCGTGTCCGACAACCCGACTAACATAGCACAATAATCATTGGACGGTAAGGTGTCTTCAATACCCTTCATTCATAACGCTGCAATAGATAATAATAAAAATCATAGCAAATCGATGCCCATCCGTTGTTCGGCCGTTGACTCCGCTTCTGTTATCTCCACCATCTTTGTCGCTCCCTCCTTCATTTAAGCGGGTACTGGCCCCTGATATTGGCCTGTGATAAAATTGACATTTGATAAGGCCACAGCGACGCTTAGCCGACATCATCGCCGTTATTACCAATCGTTGCCTGCAAGGCTATTGCAAACTAGAACAGCAACCTGGACAGAGATCCCAATCGACGGTACCGAGATCTTCGACGTGAACTGCGCCAGACGTTCGAACTAACAACAATTGGGTGACAATGCGCGATCAAACGCGATGCGACAAGGCTCTGGTGGCGTCCTTAACAGCAGCCGTCGGAGAGAAAGTACCCGAGAGAAAGATTTCAGCAGTGCTTCTGACACCAATTGTACAACAGCCTCACAGACGAAAGCGGCGTTGAGGTCCAATAATAACAGTTTGTTTCGCTACTGTTAAATGATTAGTAACAATTATTTTAGTGAAGGAACAGTGAAGCCGGCTCCTTTCGGCGTTTTAACGTATGGTGTTAAACGTAGGGTGGCCGCCTATCAACGCTACGTCACTCGACGATGGCTTTGATCCGCTTGTGATTCGTGTCGGCCACAGACGCAATACTGACCGTGTACATTTACGTAGATATGGACAAAGTTGTGCTCCGCCGACGTAATGGTGCGCGGCGATGTCCTGAATTAGACCTGTGCTTTAGACCACCCTACACATTCCGATATAAATATGATGTAAGCACAGCAGGTGGGCACCGTAACAGCGTCCTATTCTATTGAAGTGATGGCGATAGTTTTTGACAACAATTTTTCTCTTGACCTTGTCATTGCAGTTGACGTCGTTTGGTATCGTCATGCGTTTATTGATCGTAGCCTTTATCACTGCGCTGACAAGATCAACATCAATAGCAAGCAGGGGTTCAGAAGGATAAATACTGGCGAAGATTTCGGGCACGTCTATTTATAATAGGATATAATAAATATTTGTTGATTTGCAAGCACAATGCTACGGCACAGATATATACGCGGGAGTAGGCTTTACTTGTTTAGATAAATTCTTTTTTTACTTGGTACAAGCTGCGTTATGTAAGTTGTTGGCCAGATTGGAAACATTTATATTTGTTTACACATACATTGAGACGGCTAGCTAGATGAAAGACAGCCGAATGAATAAGCTATAAGCACAGATAAGATGAATAATCGGCAGTTGTTTACAAGGCATTAAAGATAGTTATCGAACAACAACAGCAGCAAAGACAAACGTAAGATGAATCGGTCAAATACTTTACGTACGTAGCATAAATTCGAATGAATTAAATTTTGTCTCTATTTGAAACACAGGCACATGACACACCGATTCTGGTTGTTTTTACATATGGACCTGATAGTATCGTCCGGTCATGTTTCAGATATAGATACATGATGATTACAAGATAAAAGTAAAATAAAGATAGCTCTATTGAATTTCATTTGGCCTGGCTACTGTTGGAAAGGGCCCCAATAACAGTCCCGTTTTGACAGTGATAATATTATAGAGTATAGATTTTTGTAATATAGCATCGAGGGCTATGTGGCTTTTCCTTTCTATCCATTTTTGTTGTTGGCGACTCGATGTGTCTATACTTCTAGCATGGGGCTGCTAGCGAGGTCGAAGGTTGGAAGCCGACGGCCGACTTTTTTTCCAATCAGTTTCCGCGTTATTATTTAATATGGGTAGATGGTGGGTAATCAATTGAACGGCAGCTTGAATCAATGAAATTTTGTGGATCTTCCATTAAAACCTCAGAACTAAAACAGTAGTCCTTAATAAGGACATCAACGCTATGAATGATTCCTGGTTGTTACGGCCTCATTTTTTTATAATTGAAAACTAAACTTAGTTAATTTCGGTAAAAATAATACTTATTTACGTTGAGCAGCTAACAGGTGCTTAAAGACGTATTCAGGGTCTTGACAGCACCTTTTGAACAGTTACGCCAGAACAAGGAGATATTTCAACCGGAAAAAAACGCTAAGAATTTCAGTGGGCAAAGCTCTTTAAGGTGGTTATAAGTAAATGCCAAATGGTAACTGTATTTTACATGGCTCTCTTACCTCTCTCATGGATCTTACCAAATGTAATTACAAGAGGCCTAATCCGAACCCAATGGCTTCCAACTTTTTCTAACAATAATTCAAATTCGTTTAACTTTACCTTATAATCAGAAAATTGCCATCGTCGACATGTTTGTTTGACCGAATTTTCCTAATTGATCAAGTTAATCCTCATATCAGACATATTTACTAAGGAAAATTTCCACGTATATTGTTACTGAAGTGTTCTATAATTACAGTTTGTTTCTTAATTTCGTTAATAACTTTGTTACTTGGCCTGAGCTTATAGTAAAGATAACGACCAAAAATTCTATTGTTTTTTTTTTTTAGTTCATACTAAAATGAATGGAGACTCAACAATACACATTACTGCATAGTGTTTATCCGTTTCACATTCGAGATATTCCCTGCGTGCATAGAGGTCCCAATTAATATATCATGTTATTGCAACGTTCTACTGACAATAGCACATCATTGTCATCCATCATTGGCACACAAGATATGCACACCGATGAAAGATTTCATTTTCTTGCGCGTGTTTTTTTCTCTGTTACTATTAGTACTACATTAGCATACTAAGTGCTATAATCAATGGCAGTTGCTTTGTTAGCGTATGTTATTAATCGTTTTCGGAAGTGTGGCTTAACATGCATAGGCCCGTGGCCTTGTTTTATTTCTCTGTGAAATAGGAACAAGCTTCTACGTTAAATCGAAGCTGGAGCACTGATTCTAGCGAAAATAAGCCTTACAAGACACGTCGTTCATACTGTGGATTGCGAACTATTAGGTATAAATGGACTAGCAAAAATAAACTTCTGCCTTAAAAACTGCCAAACCCTTATCGACAGTTTGTTCTGGATCGACCTTAACCGCAGCTTTTGAAAATTTCTAAAAGTAAAAACCTCTATCTATTATATAGCCCAATAGCGCACCACGGCAACACCACCAAACAAACTGTACTTGGCTTTGATTCAGATTTTTACTGCCCCTCTCCCGAATATTATACAATCTTCTATTGAAGATCATTAAGTGAGACGTCTTCATGAGTTCAGGTGAACTGCTGGTGTCTCATACAATATGCCATAGGTATTTCGAATAACCAAAGTTGAAATTTATACTGCACGGTTGCCAAACTGCCTTCAGTCTACTGCTCGTTGATGGATCTCACTTGGTTAAGGTTAGTTCTAATGAACCTTTTTCATTTTTTACTACGTTAGCATTGATTCTATTTCGTTGCTATTAACATTGACAGATTTTTGGTAATCCACACCAGATTCAGCATAAACCATGTGCTACTGCTCTAAGATTTACTTTCGAGCTCAGGCTGCATAATAAAAAATCGTGTCACTTCTGATATCATTTCATATTTCCTATATAGGAAGCTTTAGTATTTGTAATTTGCATCCTGTCGTAGCGTTTGACAAAACAGCCTGAGCATGCAAGTTCTTCTCCCAACTTTAACTGCTTGTTTAAGCTTTTATCTGAACTTAAGACAACGTTCAAATAATATACATAACCTTATTATGCTGTACAACCTTTCGTGTGTACCAGTAGCAGCAACAGAAAAGTTAGTTTACATCAACAAACCCAAACCTCAACTGCCTTAGATGCTTATATAATCTTATAGATTGTAGGCGTAATCCCGTGATGTTAAGGTAATAGCCACCTGAAATGACCGCACCCGGCTTATACTCACATCGTTTGAGGGCGCGATCCGCACTCGATACTCCGTATACCGCAACACTAACAAGGAACAGCACTGAGCACTTCATTATCATCTTTCCGGTAGACTACTCAATGAAGGTGTCTGCTTCAAAGACGATTTTTTCAGATACCCCCCGCATCAATCTAACACCAAAGCACCCTTCATGCGACCGTTACAATACGTTCCTATTGAGCTCAAACGTCGAACTTGTATACACCGCACGAATACAACTGTAAGTGACTTCGGTTCGTATTTTACGCACCACAAAGGCTTCTTCTTCGTCGGCGTTGATCCTGATGATGATGATGATGATGAAGACAAAGATGACTGCAATTATTCAGGCGCACCTTAGTGATCTCACGTAAGAGATCGTCTATTTTGTGGTTACGCTCTATATTGTTTTTGGCATTTTATTACGATGAATGTTATTGTTGTCGTTATTTCTAATTGATCTTCATATCGCGAAGATTTACGCTAAGGAATTGTGCCGGTAGAAATGAGTGTGGCAGATAATGTGACTGACTAGAAAGTACAACGATACACTATTGCGTGGACGTTAACCGATATATGCTCAAGTCATTCGTGCGTAACGGTATAGAATGATAGCTAGTGGTCGTCGTTGGGCGTGAGCGCACTTCGCTTAACACTCTTTTTTTCTTCGGTTGAGAGCGCGACGCTTCAGCCTCTTGCGCGCGATATGCTACGAACCAGTTCGTGCTGGGGCTATTAGGCACAGCAACAGAGTGGTTCAGGTTTGAAAAGCTTCGCAGAAGCTATATCTGCGATGGCAGCGGTCCGGTTTACTGACGACCGGGCGCTACTGGCAAGCGGCGTGAAGCGCACGTCGTTCTTATAGACGGGAAAGGGCAAGAGAGGGGCCAAGGTGACATCTGTAATAACAACACAACAACAACAACAACAACAACAAGCCAACCAATCATTCCAAGCTCAGCAGGCAACAAGAACAGCGAACCACAGCAGTAGAACAACAACGCACGAGTTAAAAAAAAAAGACGACGACGTAACCAGTGTATATTCGCTAGCGAGCATTCACTAGCTTGAACCATAATTCTGTTACTGTTATTAATGACACCGTATCGGCTACTTTTAACCGTATTGGGTCGCGATTTACCTTATATGCAAGCAGCGGGTTTGTGATAGAGAGCCGATACTCTGATAGCTGTCACATGAAATAATACAATTGCTATCACGAATTATGTTGCACAGTAAGCGGTACAAAACGCCTGACGATGATAATATAAGTAGAATTATAGCAGATAAACGCTGGCTAGCCATCTGATTGAGTACACACTTAAAGTCACATACTAGATAACAATTCGATTACCGACATATTTCAAAGGTAATCGAACTGATTTATTGAAAGATTATTTATTTTCCACGATAAACTGAGAGTTTCTGCTAAGCACGCTATCGTACACAGTCACTCACTTAATAGGCAGGTGCATTATGTGCACCAAACTGCTGTTGGTAGGCCACGCGCGATACTGGCTTTGATTTCAACGGCCAACTTGAGACAATTAGAGCTTGGAATTATTCATCTGCTCAGCAGACGAGCTTACGAACAGGTAACTGAAGAATTGTCGTCGGCAGCTAGTAAGGTGATATAACACCATTAAATGATGAGCTTAGCTTGCAGCTGTTCCAGTTGAATTAGCTGTAGAACATATGTACGCCTTTTTGTAGGAGGCCTTTGGGACGAAAAGTGCAACATACCAAAGTTTTAACATCATCAAGGGCGGTCCCGACTTGCCGATCGATTGCACCAAACGACAAAGCTAGTCACCAACCTGTAGGACTACAATCGATATCATAATCGGCTATCCAACGCCCTTTTGCCTAACGAAAATTACAAGTGAGATGGGGAAAAATGACTGCCATGACCTGTTATCTCGCAAAAATGCAATAAACAGGCTGCTACACCGGCGGAATAATATATTGTGCACGAGAGATGGGGTACCGCGAACTTTTTGTCGCTAGTTGATTGGGTCAACTCCTGGCGTCAGTGCTCATAAGAATTCGTTTGAGTAGGTCGAATATTAGGAAAGATGTTCGTAGCCGCTTTTGTGATTTTGAATATAATTTTTAAAAGACAATATTCTTGAGATAATGATATAATAACAGCAAGGACTTCTGTCATCTTGCATACCTTTATAAGTTGACCAATTGAGCAAAGGCTAACGATGGCAGGAGTAAATCTCACTAAATACTTTCTCACTTGAATCCTTATAACATTGATACCTAATGGTGTTCGTTTCGATGTGTTTATGTTAGCTTATATGCATATTTCCAATAAAAAACATATAGGCTATATACAAGTGTGCTATAATATTTGAAACGTTTTTATTTATTCCTCGTATATTTAGCCAATTTGTCTTGACCATTCCTCAATCCTTACACGTACGCCTTAGCACACCTATTCCACCTGCACTTATACACCATCAAAGAGCAGATTCGTCAAGTAGTGAGTTTATTTTCTATAGGTTATCAATAAAGCGGAGTGAAGCAAAGAAGCCTGTATTACGCGAAGCAGCTACGGTGACAGAAACATACAGGCTTTTCGCCATACATGATGTAATATGAAGCAGCATCTATCGCCGGATTCTGAATTCTCGGAATCAGGCTGTGAATATAATGCGGCGATGAGATCCTGCGTTGTCCTCTAGTTGTCGGATCGTACATCCATCAGGTTCATCAAAAATTCGAGGAGACTGGTAGCACCGACCATTTCTCGTTTAGGCAATATCCTGTAAAAGCAAATGCCGCTGATACCTGTTGAAAGTATAGGCGTAAGCTTAGGCCCGAATTTCTTTGGCGCTACCACCGAAGTTGCTTTCTTCTCTGTTCGACACCTTCCTTTTGTTTGATCTTTTTCTGCCGGGAGATACAGACCAACTCATGCCTCGTTTTTGGCGAGCGGGTGCTCCCAGAGGATCTTCTTCATAATAGCTGCGTATCCAGTGTACATCATCTGTAGGTAGAATTTAGTTCGTAAGGAAACCATCTTTGTTTCCCATTTTCAGTATTTTCGCAAAAATTTCATAACATGTACTTCAACGAATTCCATACTTAACCACTAAGAAGCTCACTGTCTACACTTTGGCTTGCTCAAAAGCTTATACGTACCTCGGTATTCCGTTTTGAGTGCTGGTGTATTGGTATCTTCTCTATTTCCAGGTTTCATTCTTCAAATAATAGTACCAGTAACAAGCCGTTATTTCGCAAGATACCCCCTTCGCTGGAATCATTGATGGATTTCACCAGTGCTTTCACACACAAACGTACTCACTGAGTGTTGATTTTTAGCGCTGAACGATGTGTTTACTTCTAAGCTCATTTTACTCGAATCGTAGTACTCAATCAACTTACACCCAACAGAAGTCAAGGACTTAGCGCAAATATCCACCGAAATTTGTCTGCTACTGCAGCGTAATTTTAAAGGTATTAGAATTCTTCTCCCTGCTAAATTGCTTTAGACAAGATTTTCTGTCAGATAACCGCTAAGTTGACTGTCAATAGGTTAATCCATAAGGTTGGTTGAAGCGAGTGGTGACAGCTGGGCGATCTTGATTTCAAAACGATCTTACTATACTGTTACTATATTATCCCTACTGAAGAGTTCTACAGTAGGATCAATAGCAGCAATAATGCTATAAGCAGCAATATCATTCATCATCACTCGTAATACTAATAAAATATTATGCAGATATGTTTAGTTGATAAGCGGCAAAGTCCCAATGTGACCTTGACTCGTCCGAATGAGGCAGAGTGGCACCAACGTTTTTCGATTGCAGTTTGGGCTCTGAGGGAAAGAGGTTCGTACGTCTTGTCCATTTTGCCTGTTTTAACAAGCGGAACAGCTGACAAGGACCGCACTAATATCAACCGTAGGTCCAACAGTCGCAACAGTTACGGCACAGAGCCACTAAAACTACAAAAAACACCGACCATGAAACCCGGCAGCCAACAGATTTTTTTACTTTTCGGAAATCCACAGAATGGGCACAGGTTTCAGTAGATGAGTATCTTCTATGACGTGAATCTATAATAATAATAATAAGCATGCGTTGTCTTTTTCATACCGTACGATGAAACGGCGTTGAATTTTAAGAAGACACCACGTAAAGAACAAGCGTCGATTGATGTCTGAAAGATACAGGACGGACCATGAAAACCAAGTTTACATATACGCCAATCGTTCGCTAATACCCCATAAACTACCAGGGCATATAGCCCTGGTAGTTTATGGGGTATTTTCCACTGAATATAGGGCAAATTATCTAAACTTTTGTGCGCAACCTTGCTTCAGTAATTTGGCAGTAAGCCTTGCTGGATGATTCCCAGGATGGTCTCAAATTTGAAAACATCAAAAGTATACATATATGCCTCATTTTATAGCAGAGTCCTGTCGTAGGCACACTGGTCAAGCGTAAAAATTATCGTAATTTATTACAATAAATATAACTGGAAATATTATGTAATATCTTTAAACTCAACCAGAAATAATATGATAGTTCTTAGTGAAAATTATTTTTGATTTATGTTATGTTTATCAAATGATAAAACGTTAACATGAATGTTAAGTAACTAGAACATTTCTCTAGCGTCGCTATTATTGAGTAAGGATTGTGATGTAGCTATTTTAGGTAGCTCGCTAATGGTGTATTTTCATATGAAAGTAAATCGACATTTAAAAGTTACAACAGGGAAATGGTAAGAGAACTACGAAAACCTGGCTCGGAACCTGATTAAAAAATTTCTTTGCCAATAAGAAAAAATAGCCAACTAAATAACGTCAGTGTCTGGCTTAAATCCAATATTCTCGCGGGTTTTAGATCGCAGTCAAGTGGGGGCCTAAGGAACGTAACGCTTTTCTCAGAAAAGCTAATAGTTCGTCAAGTCGGTGTGAAACGATTACAGCATAAGACTAAAGATCTTTCAAAAGTCCTTTGGTCTGATACCTTTGGGCGGAAGTACCAATGGAGCTAGACAGTTACACAAGGTCACCTGTTCGATCATGTACACGTTGACTTCAGACTCAGTTGGATCTAGAAGTCCTGCGACCATCAAGGGCTCATTGGCGGAACAGTGCGATGTTGGAAACGTAAATCTATTTCTATACAATAATTACGTAACAATGAACTTGAAAATGTGTGATATGAAAATAAACATCGAACAAATGTTTTATTTTTAAATCAATTAAGTCCAGCAGCCGTATGTTAGACATATACGTCTAGGCATGCTCGATTCGTTAAGGAATATGTTTTTCAGTGTTCGCTTGAGTTGTTTTTTTTTTTTGTTTTTCTGTTGAAAACAAACATGCCTCATGCTTTACTGTATTAGACAAGCTGGCGCTTTGATAGGGGTGTCAGCGCTAAGGTAGATAAGTGATACTCATCTCCGTAAAGAACGTAGGTTCCAGAAATTTCTATCGGATAAGCGTTACTGTATCAATTATTAATATTATTTGCTACTTTTCCTGTTTACGACTAGTATGTAGCCTTAGCTACTATGTATGCCAGAAAATAATTAGATCGCCGTACATTAAGTGAATCAATTGTCCCTCTTCAATTGCGGCTGCTTGACAAATCAAACTTGCTTACCGATATATGTAGCGTATTGTCCTATATACATATATATATATATATATACGCGGGCTTGCAAACTCGAAATAGTCATGCTCCGGGCGTGATACGATTTCTTAGCTAGCTTGGTGGGTTATCGAAGCAGCCAACAGGGTTGTTACCTTTACGATATCTAGAACAAAATTTTAA